TATATATATATATATATATATATACGAATGCACGCACACGCGCACACTGACACGCACATCCACGCACACATACACGCGCGCACACACATGCGCAACCAGACGCACGCACGCGCACATGCGCACATCTACGTGGTAACACGTGACTTCGATTTCTAAATCGTATTTAATCTCGCGAGTGCTATACGACGCCACCTGGCGTTACGCAAGCGCGAGATAAGCACCGCACGACGGCTCTGCGTGTCTCTACCATCGCTGGTGACGTGACAGTGATTTCGGGGGGAATCAGAGACACTGCGATCATAGGGCACTGTGCGCTCCGAGGTGGTATTTCAAGGTCGCAATGGCTGTGTCATGGTCCGCAGATCCGGTGAGACAACGACGACAACAGCAGTAATGTTAGACCGCGGCTAGTGGTTGAAAATGATGGCGGTTAACGCGAGTTGTGTGCGATTACTGTGAGAGTGCACATTGTGTCTATCTCTATACAGTCTGTACTCTGTATGGTGGGTTTAATTGAATGACACCCGGGAAAAGAGAGATGGACAAACAAATAGATAGATAGATAGATAAACAGAGAGAGGGGGCGAGGGAAAGAGGGAGATAGAAAGAGAGATAGATAGAGAGAAAGCGCGCACGCGAGAGAGAGAGAGAGAGAGAGGGGGGGAGGGAAAGAGGGAGGTAGAAAGAGAGATAGATAGAGAGAAAGCGAGAAAGAGCGAGAGAGAGAGAGAGAGAAAGAGAGAGAGAGAGAGAGAGGAGAGAGAAGGAGAGAGAGAGAGAGAAGAGAGAGAGAGAGGAGAGAGAAGGAGAGAGAAGGACAGAAAGGTGTGAAGACTGTTCAGAACATCAGTGAAAAGTGATATCGTGGTGTTCAGAACATCCATACAAGATGATGCCGTTTTGTTCCAAACATTTCCAATTTTCTTCCTATGCGAATTTCGGGGATCATCCGAACATCTTGTGATCTCAGGCCGTATGATCGGCCCCTCCCCTAATTTTTTGTGCAAGGTTATCATCTTCTTGGGCTGATGCTTAGGTACCTCTAGGTACGCTGTTGCTACCACAGGCACTTTGAACGTTTCAAGAATAAAATGATGGTGAATAAACACGAAATGTATTAACTACCAACGCCTTAATGTTTCTCTACTCTCTTTCGCATATTATTACCAATAAGTTTCTGTAAATGTCGTTCAAATGCTCCTCTGCTACACACAAGTACACCGCACGCACGCCGCTGTGCACAAGAAACAAAATTATAGAGTACTTTATATATATGTCAAGAGTTAATAAATACCTTATTATTTATTAGCTAATCCATCCATCCATCCATCCACCCATCCATCCATCCACCCACCTGCCCAGCCATCCGTCCATCCATCCGTCCATCCGTCCGTCCATCCATCCGTCCATCCATCCGTCCATCCGTCCGTCCATCCATCCATCCATCCACCCATCCGTCCGTCCGTTCGTCCGTCAGTCCGTCCGTCCGTCCATCCACCCATGCGTTCGCACACACATAAGTATGTGGGGCGTGTGATGAGTACCGCGCTACCTAATAGAGTATTCAGCTGCAGCGTAGTCGTATCATCTAATAGACAACCAATAAACGTGAATGATGACACGTAATAAAGCGAAGCGTGACACAAAGATGCGCTAATCCCAATGCAACTCTCGCTCGTTTTATGTCTCTACGCATCGCCAAGTGAGTGAACATATAGTATGCGTATAAGAATGGTCGAATTAGTGAGCATATAACGTGTATGTGGATATACGAGTATGCGTGTGTGCGTGCCTGTGTGCGCGCGTGCGTGCGTGTATGTTCTGCAACCGCGTAATCTATGATCTATAGCATAGTAGCTCGGTAGTGCCGCGTATAGAGGGGGTGAGCGTGCGGTGTATATACCAGGCACCCCCTACTAGTAGTCCCTCCCGCTCGGCCAGGCTTGGGCTCGCCCGGCGCTGACAGCAGCAGCACCAGCACTAGCAGCGCTCAATCTCCGCTCCACCGCAGCGCCCCGCAGCAGCAGCCACCCTCGTCCGTCTCCCGTACACCCCGCGCCACGAGAGATCAACGCTGAACCATCCGCGCCGTACGTATCTATACGAATATATCAGTTATAACACCGACACGCGACGTTCAGAACTTTCTCCCCACTGCAGCAGTGTGTGTGTGTGTGGGTGTGTGTGCGTGCGTGTGGATATCTGGACCGGTGACCACGTCAGGAGGTCATCTCGCGGTATCGTCATCGTTGCAGCACCGTCGGCGTCGTCGCTGCGTTGTCTCTCTCGCTCGCACACGCATACGGATTGCCGTCCATCCCGCGGATCGCACTTGAAGCACCTCCGCAGCCGAGTGAAGGTGAGTCTTCTACCGTTAGCTATATACCGCACGCGGCGGGAACACGGGAGAGCGAGAGAGCGGGGAGAGAGAGAGAGCGAGAGAGAGAGAATTAGAAAAAGGGAGAGGTAAAGAAAGAGAGAGAGAGAGAGAGAGAGAGAGAGAATTAGAAAAAAATAGAGGTAGAGAAAGAGAGAGAGAGAGAGAGAGAGAGAGAGAGAGAAAAAGAGAGCGCGAAAGAAAGAGAGAGAGAAAGAGAGAGAGAGAGAGAGAGAGAGAGAGAGACAGAGAGAAAGAGATAGAGACAGAGAGAATTAGAGAGAGCTAGAGAGCAAGCGAGAGAGAGAGAGAGAGAGAGAGAGAGAGAGCAGGTGTCGAAATTATATTTTTATTATGGTATCCATTCGGGATACCAGGTATTGAAATCTGGTATCCCCCCAAAGATCTGGTATCCCATTTTGTGGATAGTAATTTCAACAATGTTGGTATTTTGGTATGTTGGTATATATCCAAAATCTTGAAATATGCAATAATAGCACAAATTAGTTAGCACTTTTACATTTTCACATAGTTATTCAATGTGAAAATGTGAAAGTGCCAACTTTACGTAGAATGATACGCGCGCCCGCCGCTCGCTCACATATAGTGATGTCAGGAGTGAATAATAATAGAAATCTATAATAATAATCTATTATAATAATCTATTATCTATAATTTTATCTAAAATTTATAATGTTTATCAATTATAATAATCTATTATTATTCACTCCTGCTGATATTAACCTTCTCGTATACAACCCTGGTGATGCTGCTTTGGGCTTGCGCCATTCCAGGGTAGATGCCGGGCTATATACGCGTAAAGTTTATATCTGTAGGAGTGACACGACATCGGCGAGCGTGCGAGCTTCGTTCGAAATGTTAGTTACTTGAGCACGTGTGGTGGCTTATGCCTTTGTGCGTATTTGTACGTGTGCGTGCATCGGTGTGTGCGTGCGTGTGCGCCTGTGTTTGTGCGCGTGTATTGCTGTTATCGCAGAACCTGACGGAAGCGCCACACACACGCACATGCACCAGACGTGTCGTCCTTCTTCGCTACATATATATCAAGAGCTCATAATATCTCTCTCTCTATATATATAGATATATATATATGCGTGTGCGTGCGTGTGCGTGCGTGTGAGTGTATAAATAAATATATATATATATCTGATATATATATATATTATACGTGTGTGCATGTAATTTTCTGTAGACATCTGTATATGGTGGCAAGCGGTATAGTCGTAATTAGCTCGCTGATGCAGCGGGAAACGTATTGCTGTCACCGGCATGGTGACTCACTAGGCGCTATGCGACACGCACACACAGAGAGGAGGAGGAGTATGATGTGTGAGACAGGACGAGAGAAAGAGCGCGAAAGAGAGAGAGCGAGAGAGAGAGAGAGAAAAAAAACGTGCGAGAAAGAGCTATAGAGGGAGAGAGAGAGTGAGATGGGGGTGGGGGAGTAAACAACGTGCAGTATACCGCCATCGGGCATAGTTTATTTAAATCTATATATTGGGAGTAAAGCGTAAAGATTCTTCTCCCCACTCCAACCACCAACTCTCACAGATCCAAAGCACTTCCACAAACCAACTGTTCTAATGACATGTGCTGCCCAGCAGCAAACACTCGGTCGCGCAAACACGCGCGAACATGAACCACTGGGGAAACCACGCGTAAGTAAGTAATGGCGCGCACTGGATGCCGCTATAATTATCTTTCTCCGCTGTGGAAACCTCTCTTTTAAGTTTCGTTTCTCCATTACCTACTTCTTCTACTTCGGCTCCCCACTTCCTTCTCTCGCTACTCGAGTTCGAGTGCGCGCGGGCTGAGCTAATGGAGGAAGCAGCCGAGAAAAAGGCCAGCAAGCGGGAGTAATGAGGCACACTGACAACTATAGCAACACACCCGTCTCCTGCGCATGCGGTGCACGTGTGAGGCCCGAATCCTCTCTGCTTAAGCGCATCCGTCATCGGAGCATTCTCTCCCCCAGCCTCCGCTCTTTCTCTTTCTCTCCCCCCTCTCTCTTTCTCTCTCTCTCTCTCCCCCTCTCTCTCTTTCTCTCTCTCTCCCCCTCTCTCGTTCTCTCATGCGCGCGCTCTCTCTATCCCTCTCTCTCACACACACGCGGCTGTTTGGATATGGCGATCTATATGAAAAAAATATTTGCAATGCTAATAGCGCAATACTGCTTCTGTTTACACAAATGACTGCGATTGTGATCAAAGTGTATTTGCGACTAGATCGGCGGAGACCAAATGACGACAGAGTAATCGACGCTCGTTATATTCCGACCACGTCCGTTAAATTGGAAACCAAATACGAGAAAGCAAAGCTACAAAAAGCTATGTCTATATGCTAAACACACACGCCGATGTCTGTCTGGTTCCAGAACACACAGGTGCAGAGAGCATTTGTGAGTCAATTATATTTAGATGCTTCCATATATATTATATAGCCTATATTATTCATTAATTCATTCATTCATGAATTTCTAGCGATCGAATGACGCTTATGGCGCTGGTTAATTGTCAATACTCTGGTTTCCAACACAGAATGGAACATGTTACATGATACGTTATTTTATTTACATCGATTATAAATGATATTCGATACGTGAATGTCATCGAACCCTCCCTAGACCCCCTTTCTGTCCCAACCACGCGAGGGGACCTATAGCGTGGCAGCATAGAATCGCTTGTCGTGGAGATATGAATATATATATATATATATATATATATATATATATATAATATATATATATATATATATGTAGATATGCGTGCGGGTGTTCGTGCGTGCAAGTGAGCCTGCGAGCGTGCGTGCCTGAGTATATGCGTCTGTGTTCGTGCGTGTGTGCGTGTGTTCGTGCGTGCGCGTGTGCGTTCGTACGTGCTGCGTGTGTGTGGCCATGGTAGAAGGTATACAGCATGAATCATCAACATTGGGGCTTATCCCCGCATTCTCTGCTTCCGTGCGTGCACCCGCACCGCTCCTCTCCGCAGCGAGATGCAACTTGATTGATGTTAGCAGAGGAAACGGGTTGTCCGCTTACCTAAAAACATCCGCAACGTCTCTCGCCACAGTCTGCTCGCCGAGAATGGTGATGGTGATGATGATGATGATGACGACGACGATGATGGTGATGATGATGATGATGATGATGATGATGGTGATGACAACGACGATGACGATGATGCTGATGACGATGATGATGATGGTGATGGTGACGATGGTAATGATGATGATGATGATGATGATGAGACATCGTAGTGCGGGCGGTGAAGATGCTGCCGCCGCCGCCGCCGCCGCAGCCACCACTTTCGCCGCGTAGCTGCCGTTAGTTTTATTTAGCGTTTCGCAGTGGCGGTAATGTGACGGCGGAAACTCTATCATCGGATGCTCTAAACGAGTGGAAACACTGCGATCGCGCGTAAACACCGTCACAGATACTAGTATAGCCTCCACTACACACGGCTTCACGGCTCTACGTAGAAGTAGTAGTAGTAGCAAAGCTGGTGCTAACGAGAGCTAACTCTCTGTCTTCCCATCGCTCTCAATCGTAGGGCGTCCGGAGCGAATGGCTACACAGATGGAGCTATTCCAACAGGACAGTCCGTTCTCATTGTGTTTCCTTTGTATTTGTTGCTTGCATTGTGTTTTTTCGTTTGTTCATTGTTCGCGTTGTTTTTCGGTGTATTTGATGTTCGCATGATTTTGTGTGTTTGTATAATATATGTGCTGTTCGCATTCTTATTCTCCGTATTTTCTGTTCCTATTGTTTTTGCGTCCTTCAAAAAACACGGATTTTCTGAAAACCCGCGGTGTGAACCGTTTACGGGATTTGACCCCGCATAGGCGCCTAACCGGTGTTATATTTCCCCGGGGTATTTCCCCCCCCCTCTTTTAGGCGCGTATATATAACCGGCGCATGCTTCTTCCACCACATAACCGACTCGGGTTATTTTTCCTCGCGTGTAGGCGCACGGCTCTCTCTCTCTCGCTCTCTCTCTCTCTCTCTCTCTCTCTCGCTCTCTCTCTCTCTCTCTCTCTCTCTCTCTCTCTCTCTATCTCTACTAT